GAGAGAAAGTCTAAACAGGCGGAAAAATATGGCACAAAAGAAAAGTAAAGAACGGTGAGAAGAGCCCCTGGGGACAATGTCTTACCAGACCAGTTCCAAACGGTCGCCGCCGTTCTGGCTTCTGATTGGTGCCAGAAAAACACAAGTTTTCTGGCACCAATCAGAAGACAGAACGGCGGCGACCGTTTGGAACTGGTCTGGTAAGACATTGTCCCCAGGGGCTCTTCTCGCCGTTCTTTTCTTTTCTTCGTGCCTTATTTTTCCGCCCGTTTAGACTTTCCCTTGCCCCCACTATCTGCCCCTGGGTCTCCGAGGATGACATTTTCACTATTTTTTTTTTTTTTTCATTTCGCTGATAGGTAAATCAATATAAACACAACCCAACGCATATTTAACCCATTGGCTACGCAGTTTTAGAAGAAAAGTGACAATAAGTAAGCATGAACTCTTATCGGTTTCGCTGTTGTTTTCACGACGAGAAACCCGGCGAAAACATACCGTCCCACAAGGACGACAGTAAAAAGTCACGCGTGTTTTGTGTGACGTGACATCTATCCAACCGTCCCAGGCGACCGTAGTGACCTTTCTTAAAGTCCCTTTTCTTTATAAAGATTCGCCTTCACACCCACAACTACCAGCTTCTTCCAGTTTTCTTAACACTATGGCATTCGGGTTCATGTAGTAAATAAATGGCAGATTGGGTGCAAATATATCTGAGAACTGATTGCAAGAACTCTAAGAGCGCCAACTTGATGGATCCAAGTTATATCAAGCAACTAATAAAAACGTTCAGTTTTTTTCGCAAATGAATCCCAGTTTCAAGGAGCAGTCTTCGTCGTTCCATTTTGCGTTAAAATACACAAAATGGTACGTTCCTTTTAGCATTGCTACGCAGTCTTGGTTAAAAAAATTGTTCGGCTGGCCACTTCCCCAGTTCTTATAACCAGTTAATCCGGTTTCGTCGGTCCATCTCCAGTCTTTTTCTTTAAAGGAGTCAGAAAGTCCAATCCAGTAACGACCTTTATTACTGAAATATTTTCTTGTGATAAATCGACTTTCCTCCTTGGTTTCAATCTTCACTAACTTACCACCAACATTTTGGCAGTTCACTTTCGCATTGTTCCAGTTCCTGCGCGATGTGTACAGTTTATAACACGAAGACCCAAAACCTGTCCATAGCGATTCACACGATGCTGAATCAATTAAAAGAAAAGCAAAGAAAACAAATTATAAAGAAAAATGTTTATAGATGCATATAAATTGGTGTTTCTTAACCCTCGAACGTTCATGCAAACGCATACCCCCACCTCTCACCGTGGTTCAACGGGGGATGTTTGAACCCCCCTTCTTTCCCCAGGATGTTCCTTACCTTACGATAATTTGAAAAGTAAAGTTTTTACCCTTAATAGTTCTCTTAAATAGATTGCCTTTTATGCCGTCTACAAGATAACGTTAATACTATTCTAACTGCATACATAATTGAGGGTCTCAATGGGGTGGTGGCTTTTACGGTTATTGGCTAAAGTTTCGGCTCTTTTACTGCTATCGGTTATGTTTTTTTTTTTTTTCAGTTACGGTTAACAAAAAAGTTAAAAACTAATTCCTTTTGTCTCAAAGAGTTAAATATTAATAAACCTGTATTTCTAGTAACTTTAAAGCAAAATAAAGGTCTTAGGATCATCTTGGGATGAAATAAGCCATTCTTTTGTAAAATTTTAACATTTGATAGATCATACTTTTTATAAAGTATTCCACTTCTAATATTATTTTACTCGTTAAAAATGTCGATAGTGAATATAAAAATAATCTTTGTGAAAAAGCAAAAGCAGACACGCGAACGCTTAACTCAAGGCGGGGGCGCGGCATTCATTTACAACAGAAATGGACGTTTTCACGCTTGAGACGGATCATTGCAGTGCCGTGACGGGTTATCCGTTTGATAATTCGCGTCAGATAGGTAATACGTCTTAATTTGATCGAATGAACAATCCGCCTGACTTTAATCCGTCAATTTTGACGGACAGTTTGAAGATGGATTAATCATTCCAGATAGCCTGTGTACAGCCGACCCCTCACCTCAGAAGAAATCGGAGAAGGGGTGTCTGTGGGGGAGGGGGCGACAGTACACAAGCTAGTCTCAGAAGGAAAATCCATCTCTAGCTCTAGTGTGAAAACGGCCAACAACAAAATTCTCGTGTCCGGTGTTTTTAATGACAGAGAAAGGACTGCACAGAACGACTGTCTGCCGTTGACTTGTCCTTAGGCCTCATTATTCCGCGCGGGTAATGCATTCCGGGTCACGTGGTCCGACCGAGTTTTTTTTTTTTTCCCCTCAGGTATGCCACCGAAATGCCTCGACCAAGATTGCGAGGGAAGACGCCGTACAGGGATTAGGCATGGCAATGTCTACCGTAGTGTCAGAGACTGAAACAGGGAATTGTTGTTTATCGGCAAAGTGTTTTACAAACAGTGACATCTCTGCGCGTTGTTTTACTAGTATTTATGGGAAAAAAAACCTTGGTTCTTCGAGTGAGCAGCGGAAATAGAGCCTAGGTCTAGGTTAACACCTAAAAGGAGCTTGGCCTAACGTGCGTACGGAGTCAAAGTAGCCGGGAAATAAATAACGCAGCCATAACTGAATTTATCACCTTCTCTCTTCTTTTCATTTCTTTTACGATTAACTCTTTTTTACCCTATTTACGGCAATGGACTAAATTTTTGGCCGCTTTACGCCCATCGTTTAACCCCATTGAGACCCTCATAATTGGACCTTGACGCGGGAAATAAGTAATTACTTAAATTACTTCGTGTTAGAACTGCTCATTCGGAAGTCAGCCAAGGGCAGTCATTGCACGCGTGCTGAACAAGAATGCTGTATAATGACAGACTAGAAACAATAGGCAACTCCCAAAGCACAAACTCAGCCAAAACGCTAAAAATCTTCAATGTTTACTCAAGTTTGGGCTTATAGAAGACTGTCACAGTTTTTCAATGACCATGAAATTCAGAGTCCGGGTAGTTAGTTAATCAATTGTGGCCCTGAAAAAATTTGAAGGAAAAAAAACTACGAATTTTTAAGAAAATTCTTTTTTCGTGAGAAGGACTCTTAAACGCTGACAAACGTCAACAAATAGCGAAAACTATAATTTATATATATTTGCTTTGCTCGAAATCGCGCACATTTACAAGGCCCTAAAGCGTTTTGCTGACTTGCAAGGACCCATCTGTTATAACGATGCCCAAAATAAAGGGATAAATCTCATAGTTTATGAGATGTAATCGTGTAAAGTTTGCTTATCATTTCCGCATATATTATGACCTAAATTTGGTAACCGCTAAATTTCTCGAATTTGGTCTTTGCGATTTTGGTGAAACTCTGTTCAGCGCAAGGCACTAAAGCGCACTATGTGTAGCCGAGAGATTTTCACGAAAAAATGCCGACAACAGTAGATTTTCGACTCAGACCTCAAAGGAACGTGGCATCATAACCACGTGACATTTACTCCGATCGCCAAAAATTTTATGTTATATTGTAGATTGATCTATATGTTATCCATTCTATGTGTTAGACTTAAGATAAAAGTAAAGGTGGGGATACCAGAGAGCTTCAAAGTAGGATGGCACACCCCCCCAAGAAACTGGGTCGAGTCACCTTAATGCAGTTGTTTTCATCAAATAGGTTTCAAGCTAGCCTTGTCAGTTTCGGATATTTAGCGTTTTGCTTGCTATTTCTGCCATTACCTTGCTGTTATTTTTCTTTTGTCGCCTCCTTTTTTTATTTGTTTATTGCCTGTTGCGCAGTTTGAAATGACTTATTAGTTCCATTGTCTCTCACCCGCCTACTTACGTTCTATCTTATGGATGTTTTTCATTTGCATGTTTCTTTCTCGTGTTATTATTTTTCAAGGGTGGATTTGCGCTTATACAACTCAGAGCGGAGAGAGCTGTCGACTGGACGAGTCTGTTTTGTTAAACTCTGACTTAGTGGCCCGAGAAGTCCACAGAATAGGCGACGGTCTTAGCATCCAGCGGCCTGGAAACTCCATAAATCGATTGTGTTGTGTTCAATTACGATTGAATGGCGCGGAGAACCAGGGCTCTGAAGAACTGTAGAATCAATTTTTCGTTTTGTTCAGTAATGATTAAGTGGCGCGCCCATTCGTTGGGTGCCCCTGACATGTTATAACTATGACGTTCAGCGCTATCCGAAGACTAGATAGCTGAATTTGTTACTTAAACTGAACGAAAGAAATGGGAGAATACACAAGAGTCACACAAACAATATTACTCGATGGATGTTGTCTACCTTTTGAGGAGATTTTGCACGAAAAAATGACGTCCGTTTATATCCTGAAACCATGCCAAGAAATGGGCCAAAGCCTTGAAGAAAGTTTACGAGGAGGTAAACTTTATTTTTAGGTCTCTGCTATAATTCATGTCAGTATCACTTACCATTGTATTTTGTACCAATTTTACAAATGCAATTGAAAGAGCCATTGGTGTTCTCACAATTGGACACATCGCCACAGTGTAATCTGTCCTTACATTCATTAATGTCTACGTGGATGAATCAGAAAGAAATGTCGAAAAAAGGATGTTTAAAAGCTTTAGTAAGCAACGAGGTTGTTCTAAATCTAACATAATAAGGGATTGTTTTTAGGAATATGCCATTATAAGGTTGGAATGGGGGATCCGCAGACAAGCATAGGCAGCCCAGCAGACAGTTGTCACGTCAAGTTGAGGGTAAAATGCAGGGTGGCAAATGTACCCTGAAGAAAAGCTCCATATGTTTGACGACTCTGCCATGTCAGGCATGCGCAGTATCGGGCCACCATGAAAGCCCCTAAACGTTGGGAAAATAATAAATTGAATAGGAGAATGAGAACAATTCTTTAAAATCCTAGCGCATGAAGGTGGTTGAGCAAACTAACTGGATGTCCGCGTTGTGAGTCAAACAATGTGCTAACACATACTGACATAGAAAACAACAAAGTCAACCT